GAGATGTTGATTGCAAAACATTTCTGGTTCATAGGGAGCATTGCTTGAAGCTTCAAAAGAGAAGATCAACGATGCCATCTCCACCAAACTCGACGTCGATTTTACTTCAAATCTCGTTAACATAGCAGATTTCGGTTGTTCCAGTGGTCCTAACACTTTCGTTGCGGTACAAACCATAATAGATGCTGTGGAACACAAGTTTCAACAAGACACCGAGTTCCAAGTTTTCTTCAACGATTCTTCAAACAACGATTTCAACACTCTCTTTAAGACACTTCCTCCGGCTAGAAAATATTTCGCAACTGGAGTTCCGGGTTCTTTCTTTGGCCGAGTTCTTCCTAGRAGCAGCTTCCAYGTCGGAGTTTGTTCTTACTCACTCCATTTCGTATCCAARGTTCCCAAAGAAGTTAAAGACYGCGATTCTCCTGTSTGGAMCAAGGACATACATTCCACCGGATTCTCAAAAGATGTTGAAAAATTATATCTTGATCAATACAAGATCGACGTGGGCAGTTTCTTGAGCGCTAGAGCTCAAGAGCTCGTGTCTGGGGGATTGCTATTGCTTCTTGGATCATGTCTACCAAATGGAGTTCAAATGTCTGAAACCGTGAATGGAATGATGATTGATTTCATTGGATCTTCTCTTAATGAAGTTGCTAAACAGGTAAAATCCAAAGCAAAAACTTTTTAATTAGCCCTTTTGATCACTATATCATGWATACTAACATAATACYCTGTCTTGGGATTCTAAWCAAAAGGGTCTAATAGATCAAGAAAAGCTCGATGCTTTCAAATTGCCTATCTATCTTGCACAYGCTGATGACTTGAAGCGAATCATCAAGGATAACGGWTGTTTCACGATCGAGGTATYCGAAAAGATTAGCCATGCAAATGRGGAATTWCCCTTAGACCCGGAGTATTTGACAGTCTCGTTTAAAGTCACTGTTGGAGGAATTGTAACTTCACAATTTGGCCAAGATGCAATGGAGAAAACATATGAGCTTGTGAAGGAAAAGACCCAAGAAATGCTTCCTCAAATAGCCAAAGCCAAACCCGGAATGCAATACCTCATTGTGCTTCGAAGGAATTGATTGCATGATCAATGTGTATGTCAAATGAGATGATTATAAGTCTTATATTGTTGTTACCGTGACGTATGTTTGTGTGAGTAGTGTTTCTAGTCGTTGGGTTTATTTCTAATGTCCAGTTTTAAATTTGAGTTTTGAGTGTGATTGTTATTAGGCCAGAAGCGCTTCCAACTTAATAACTTCGAAAATTATATGGACTTTTTCGGTTGCCAAAAAACACCGTATATTTGTATCATATTACTTTTAGGTTTTAGGATAGTCAAATTATTGTTTACAATATTGCCAGAAACACCGTGTATTTTTTTTCTAGTTGACTACAAATAGTGTATATCTTCTTTTTTACCGTCGAATTTGGTGGATAAAGTAAGTGGCGTATGGTTTGGAAAAAGGCTGATCCAAAAGTCTACGCGACGAAGTCATGAAGGCAAAACAAGTACTGTAAGGAAGTTTACATCCAATATAAACCCAAGCTATCCATACATATCTACTAATTTCTTGAATGGGTTTCAGATATTCTATATGTTCCCATCCTAATGTTAGTTTTTGTACTAGTTTTTGTAGTAACCACTTTATTCAAACTCAAATTCGAGGTTTCAAACCTAAGGAATTTTACTATGCCAGCAAGCGACATAAAATAAAATACGAAACACTTTGAAACTTTAAATCATTACCAAAATATCATTAAAACCACAGGTAATTGATCTTGTGTTCTAATATAAGCAAACATGTACAAAAGAAGAAAAAGAAAAAAAATGAGTATAAAAATACTCAATACGACGGTTATTCTAGCCTTCACCATAACAACTAGACTCAAAGACCCGAATCTGGAACCGACTCGCATATGTCTATTTGAATCTGTTGGGTAGTAAAATTTTATAACTATGGATACATATTCGGATCCAAGTTCTTACCCGAGACCTGATCGAATATCCAAACCTACCCAAATGAAAGTCTATTAGTGAAGAAAGTTAATGTTTTTTGTGTGTTTTAATGTTCGATTTACTAAAAATGAACTCCTATGTCTCATTTGCATATTTCTTTCCTCACATTTTCAAGTATTTCAAATGTTTTACATTGTTTTTGGTTCATATATCACTACAAGAAAACTGTGATTTAGCGTCGGAATTTTTTCGACGCTAATATAGCGTCGAAATTACGGCGAAGTTGTGTCAGTCTAAATATTCGACGCTAATTCGACGCTAAGTAGGGTCGAATCAATTCGACGCTAAATCGACGCAAATTAGCATCGAATTAGCGTCGGAATTCCAGTTTAAGACTGAATTCGACGCTAAATCGATGCTAATGTTGCATCGATTTAGCGTCGATCACGTAGCGTCGAATATAGCGTCGAATTTGCCTCAAATTGG